AACATGTCATGAACAATGTAAACATTCAGGAAACGTTCGACTATCTCAATTCTGACGGAAGCACGACAATCAGATTACATTCGCAAAGTTCCCTTTCAATCGCTATGCTAACTATCGTTATAACCAGCCTCTCGAAACGTCAAGGAAACTGGACCAACTCTCACACTCCATGAAATTCTGTGCACTTATTTGCATGTTATGAGATGATATGGTATATAGAGAAGGAGAGAGAGGTGCAAGAGTAAGGAAGGGTGAATCACCAGAAAAGCAAAACGCCGTTATAGCGACATTCGGCGAGGTTGGCGAGAAGGTCGCGTAGCTATTTGTAATTGTAATTAGCAAGCTGGCTAATTCATTACGTCTCACCATGAAATATACAATGCGCGGTATACTACTTAATTACAAGAGACGCTAATAAGAGAGAAAGCACATAGATATTAATTATCGTAAGTACCGATGTATATACGACAAATTATTACATCTCGTTGAGATACGCAAAAAAGAGATCTAATAACAAGAAAAGACATGTAATAGCTGTACGCGCGAAGAAGAAAAATACAGAGCAAGAAAAAGAGAATCAGGAAAATGCAAAACCCTGGTAGCATTCTTTGTACAGAGAGAAATCTCAGATATATTTTTAAATTAAACACATATACATAGGTGTTGTATGTTTTCCTTACCTTTTTCCGTACATAGCCATTTAAAACAACAACAGTAGATTTTTCTTTTTAACATCTTTCCCTCTTCCTCTCCTCTCTCTTTCTCTCACTCTTTATATTTTTTCTCTAGATATTTCTATAAATATCTCCATATATTTTAGCCTCATATATATATATATATATATATATATATATATATATATATATGTATAACTGATTTAATTCAGAAAAAGAAATTTGTATTTTTGATCTTAATATAATGCTGAATTATACCATATAAGTAAAAATACTAGTTTCTTTTAATGTTTTTATTAAAAAAGAAACTTTGTTATTATTTTAGATGTCCATAGATAGAAAAATGGTATAAAAAACATGTAGCACTGCATATATATATATATTTAATCTAAAAATATATATAAAATTTTTCTATGTACGCAATTCTGTACACCCATATATTATATATATATATATAAGAGTAATTTTATATTTTATATATAAAAATTATTTTAAAATTTATTTAAACTAAAGAAAAAGAAATATATAAAGAATTTAAAACATAGTATGATTTTATAAAAATAAATATATGTACGTTGTAAAAAATTTTAATTAATATATAATAAATTAATATATAATTTCATAAAAAGAGATAATTTTAATTAATATACATATTGAATCTTTTATAACGAAACAAGATGACGATCAGAAAGTCTCAGAGACTAACGAGCTGAGTCGCTTTTGAAATTCAAACATAACGAGCTGAGTCGAGCGGCGAGCGAACATCAGGACATAGAACGAGATAAATTTGTGGAATCGTGTTGGACGGCTCGAGAGTGTCACCGGTGTCATCTGGGAAAAAAATACTACAACAGGCTGCGATGTGCATCGTACGAAAAGTAGGAGAACATATTAATAAAACTAGTGTTAGAGAGGATGTGTTTAACTGCTAGCTGTTCTTAATTTTCATAATTTTTATCTTCCGGATCAAATTAGCTTTTAGCTTATATATTAAAAATATTTTATATCACCTTTGAAATTATAAACACAAGAGTTTTGCGCTCCATAACTTTTATCAAATTAGTCGATTAGAGCTGTTCAAAGAAATCCAATAAATAATAGCTTTCCTCAGTTCTTATTATTTATAAGTAAGTAAATTTTATATATATTATTCTTTTAATTACAACATTGTAATTTTAATTATTAAAAGTTTTTTTATTATATTATATTATATATTGATTAATTATTATTGACGATCTACAATAAATGTAATGAATAAATGAAAGGTTAAGAAATTTTTCAGATGATAACATTTTTTGGTAACATTTTGGTAACATTTTTTAAATGTTTATGTTGCGCTTGAAATGTTAATGATAAATTCTTACTAAAAAAAAACAATATTGTATCTCGCACATTTTTTACATATATGAGATTTCGAAACCACAAGTGGAATTTATAATTGGCAACTTCCACTCGTTAGAGTAAAAACAGAATAAAAGAGTACGGCATGATGTTGTAAATTATGTAAAAATAGAGTGCAATTACAAAACTGCATGTACCACAGTAATTTTTATTTTTATGTTTTTGAGAAGTTATTTTCTGCAACACGATATATATGAATTATAATCTTCAATTCCCACAAAATTTTCAATTTCTCGCTTTAATTTTTAAACACTCTTGGTTCTAATTTATCCTAAAATAACAAGATAATTCGCATGTATATAATTGCATTTGTTTCAATAGTATAAATTTTGAATTTCTTAAGCAAACGAAGAGTATATTCTTTTTTAATAGCTTAAAAGAAAATTAATTGAATAATTATTTTAATAATTATTTTAATAAAATTTATTTTAATAATAATAATTTATTAATGATTTAATTATAGGAGGGTGTGTCTATAATTTATCAGTAAGTTCGATAAATTTAATCTGAAAATATAGTCAATAAGTAAAAATTTTGATGTTTTTACTTATTTCACAATATATGTTCTATTTCGTATTTTTCCATCATTTATGTTCTTGCAATTATAAATATAATTTATCATAAATATTGTATTAAAATGACAAGAATTAAATTTAATTTTACCGTACTTTACTTACAAGATAAGTAAGAGCACAAGAACAAGGAAAAAGAAAATAATCATATTTTATTATTATCGTTACAGAAAAGTTTGTACGACGGTTGCAGAAGTTGAGAAAATGCGTTGTAATTTTGATTACGTGTAATCTGTCATAGTCCTTTAAGCAAGAATGATCAAAGGACATTCGTGTATGATGCAAAACATACATAAAAATGCACCATCAATAATGCAAAAAAAAATAAAAAATAATTGTTTTGGTTTTACTCAGACATCCGTACACAAATCTTTGTTTATTTAATAAATATAATAATAAAATTGCAAGTTTTAATATTGAATTTTTTATGTAAATATAATATTTTTGTGTATATAAGGAAATTATATATATAAAATAAATAAAAATTTTAATTGAATAATTTTTTAATAATGTAGGAGATTCATCTGTAGTAATATAATATAAAAATGCAATAATATGTAATGGAAAAATATACTTATTATATATATATATATATATATATATATATATATATATATATAATAAAAATAAGTATAGTAATTCTTAAGGAAAGCTTGCCATTTCGAAAATCTCCGATTTATAAAAATTATTAACTTTGAATAATTTGCTGAAAAAAAATGTCTTTTATTCTTTCCAAATTAAGATGCAGGTGCGTAAATCCGTCGATGTATTATATTTTGCCATCCTTATATATCTTTACATATATACATAAGTAAGTATATCTTACGTATGCCGATGGTGTACCCTCCAGGGCATAATCTTACCCTACCAACTAGTTAAATTAAACTACGAGGTCTATCCTTCAATCTAGGATAGAACCAATTGCAGCGCGCATCGGTCTACATATATGTATATCGATACCTATAAAGCGCAGCTGAGTTTATGATATATCGTAAAATGGAATTTAAAATTCTATTTTTAAAAATTGATATGTGAGAAAATAATATTGTCTTATTATCAAATAAGACAAATTATTGATTTTGTTGGTCAAAATAATAACATTATTGTAACACAGTTAATATAATAAATTAAAGTTGAAAAATAGAGAAGATAATATAAACGTTATATGCACGATTTTTACAACTGACCTACCGCGGAATTCTACTATTAAGTATTTTCTTCCTGAACGAAACGTGCGCCACGAATCTTGCGAAAGAGGAAAAAAATGCGCGCATCCCTTACGTCCCTAAGAAGCTCTTTTCCACGAGGATAGTCCTCTCGGCGAGTTGCCTCGGCGAGCAATCTCGCGAAATTGCGCCGCGCGATTTCACGTCGTTCTGTCGACGTTACCGTTCACATTCCCAACATTCTTTTTTTCCGGAAGTCTTTCGACTTTTATTTGACTGACAGAAGGGAATGAGATGGAAAGGTGAAAAAGTGGTGAACAAAAAATCTAGAGAAAGAGGGAAAACGAGAGAGTAATGAAAATAAATTTTCTTATTTTGCACCGTTAATATATTTATCTATCAAGAATAATAACATTAGCAAGAATAATATATTTTTAAAATTGTTTATTAATCATTGATAATAATAATTAATAATAATTAGCTAATTATATCAATTTATGGATATATTATAGATTCATTCACGCGATCTGCATTTTAATTTGCAAAGAATATGAAAATTTTCTCCAGGAAATCCATCAAATTAAAATTTATAAATTACAAATTTTCAAAATAAGAAATTTTGTTTAATTCAAGAAATGTAAGTAACAGATGTTATTTTAATTTTTTGGGAGTGATAATCAGCGAAAACGCATTGCAATATCCAAAATTCGTATATTATTAAACGCACATCACTGTCAACGAAATATCTTCGAGCAGACAGATAACACGCTCTCTCCTTTTTCTACTTTTATCTCGCGAATCAAACTTAAGCTTAAGCTTTCACGTAACGTACAGCGAACTATATCGCCAAGTATGTCATTTAGTAACTCATTTGTATGCATGGTCAGCTTACTTTAGTTGGCCGCCACATGTTTCGATTTTGTAGAAATTTACTGTAGAAAGTTCTCTATAATTAAAGCCAATTTCTAGTTTACGATCTTTTTCCCCAGGCATATTTTTTGGGAAAATTTTTCATAGTAGCATAGAGTATCAATTATAATATACAGTGCGATAATAATAATGTAAATTTTAATTTAAACGCATTGCATTTAATTTGCAATTGTCAGCATCAATTGAAAAATCATTATATATAAAGAGAGAGAGAAAGAGAGAGAGAGATTATTATATGTAAAAATCATACTACTCACCCGTGCTTTCGGCGTCTGCTTTAATCCAATGGCTGGTTGACTGCGATTACTCTGCAAAAAGAGACGAAAATCCTGGTTAACGGAATGACGATAAATTTATAATGATCGACGTTAAACGTATACTCGCTAAACCATATGTCTCGTTATATCGACAGGTACTTTTAATCTGGAAAGTGAAGCGATATATCGTGATATAAATCGTTGTCATAAAATGCGTCATCAAAATATAAAAAAAACTCGAAACTATATAATATCTATAGTAAAGTAACCATATGCATCGTAATGTGAGCATGCATTTATGACAGGACATTGGATTTCGGCAGGACGATTGAAAACACACGGATAAATGTTTAAATTCAAAATTGCACACATTTCCGACGTCCGATCTGTACGATTTCCATCGGAAGAATCTAGCTTTACGTAAAAAAAAAAACAAGTCACGAGTCGTCCTGAATCGTTTGCCTTCATTTATAGTGTTCGACGAGATATTTCCGGGTCGTAGATAACCCGGATACGTCGAAGCGGTTTTTTACGCGTATCGCCACGATAAATTCACGGTGAAATATTGATCCGAATCGGTATCGTCGCGGATGCCCGTCATTGCTGGGGAGAAATACATAAATTTTAATTGGTATGCCGGGACACGAAGGAAGCGACCGCGTCGTGGACGATAACCGTGAACGTCCTGGAACGAATCGGACAAAATAACTCCACGTCGGGAACTTATTCCGGCAGATTGACGAAGCGACCAAAACGGAGTCACGTATCTCGCGGCAATTTAATTAAGCCGTCGCACTCGCGATATATTCCTGCGTTGATTAAGCTGTTTTTGGTAGACGTCGATACGCGTTTCTATCTGTACTGATTGTCGCTGCTGATTTGCAACGCGCTTCGTCTCTTTCACAGATGTTCATTAAAATGTCATAAAGTTTGTAGCGTCCTTTATTTACGTGATTTAGCTTTTTGTGCGCGATGTTTTTCTCATAGTGGAAAAAATTCGATCTTAATAAATTTTGAGAACAGAGCTTATTTTATAGGTTTTTTAAAATTTTTTATTTTATATTATATTTTATTATATTAATTTTACGTATATATTTATCTTATTTTATATTATATTTAATTTTTATTATTTATATTGCAATATTCAAATCTGTAATCAAGATTAAATGAAAGAATAGATGTATTTTGCTAAATATTAATATTTTGTATATAAGATTTAATCTATAAAATAACGTAAGAAAACTATAAGTGTTTTGACATTGTTTTTGTCAATTTTATTTTAAAAAATTTACACAATAATAAATTTTTCCATATAATAAAATTTGTAACAATTACATATTTATTTACAAAAATTAATGACAGTAAACAATTTCGATTATTACACACATATCTTTTATTTAAAAGAGAATTGTATTAATAACAAGTCCTGTGATTAAAGAAAACATTCTCTAATCAAAAGAAATGCGTAAACTTACAGACTCAGGATGCTCGTGCGACCTAATATTTATTGAAATCATTTTCATCCTACGAGAAATTCCTAGCATAATCTGCACTAGACACGCTGATTACATCGGATTTGCATTTAAATATCCTCGGATTGCAACTTCCTAGAAGCGGAAACGAGAACACAGCACGGGCCGTCAGTTTCGACGATTCGATGCCGCACCAATGATAATTAGCGCACATTTAGCGGCATTTCGCTTGTCCAAAATCGGCTAACAGATATACTGAGAAACAAACGAGCTTTGTACGAGACGTAATAATTAAGCGGTTTATCCCGATTAATTCCGGATAATTACGCCTGGCAATTAGTCCAATTTCTGCAACTGTCCAACGCAGCATGAATGGTGAGGCCCCACCATTCGGTCCTATCCTACTATGCTCCGTGATTACAGTGAAACTATGTTTATACCCTTACGGTTTCTACAGCTCACAGATTTTAGTCATCATCTTGAATCTCGAAAATTGTCTCGTAAACCGAGAAATCGGACTTGAGCACTTTCCCGGTTACATTTCCACTGAAATATTCCCGTCGCCCAATTTAAACCGTCTGGATTTTATCACGCAATAAGATGAACGAGCGCAAATTAAGCAGTCAAATGTTTCCTCGTCGAGGGAAATTTGACTTCCTGTTCAATGTTTACGGAACTATTTTATCATAAAAATTAGACGAATAATTAAGATTACTCATTTTAGATTCTTTAATAGTGTTTTGAATTCAAACCCAATTTTGAAAAAAAAACAAGGTTTCCAAAATCTTTGAAAAAAGTCAAGCTTAGGTATCTTTCCAATCACCGAATTTTTACAATAACGTCAGATGCTATTATTGTATTTATAATTGTTTTTAGTTTTCCGCGTTTACTTTATCCTACGTCACGTATATAATGTTCTAAAATGACTCGACCTACTTGCAATAATTTCAACTTGCTTAACCTGTTCGTTTTGTCAACTTCCGTCCATTTTCTATCCTTCCCTTCTTTTATCCTTTCTTACTTTTTTTTTACCATTCCCCATCTACTTAATTGTCGAGATGCGGTTTGTGTTGAAAGTGTCACAAAGCTGAAGAAATAAAAAAGCCGAAGAAAACTGAAAAGAAAACGTACAAACAATAAGACAGGAACTTCGATGAAAAATCGCAGCTGCCTGGCGGAAACGCATCGATGCAGCCAAACACCATCTTGCATTACGAGCTCCGTCGATCCAACTTTTTTTTCTCGCTTACAAATCTTCGCCTCGTGCGAGAAGTTTTGACGGGCGTTTACCGGCGAATTTATCGGTATCGCGGTCTATTAACTCGTAATGGCATTAAGTCGACCTGCCGATACCCGATATACCATAAAATTATTTCCTATTCGAGCGCAGTGCCCGGATTATGTGACAGCTTCACGTCAACCGCTTTTTTAACTGCATACTTAATGATAACGCATAATCCAAGTCACGCTTCGTAGAAAATGAATGCAAAGATTAAATTAATGAATTTGCATAAAATTAAACGCAAATAAAAAATTTAGATAAAAAGAATATACATATATATACATAATAAGAAATAAGGACATAGTTAGACAAAAAATATTCATGAAAAATAAGAAAAACATACAAAGCCTATATATCTCATTTGCACATTCTATTTTTTATTTTACTCTTAATCAATTGAATAGATATATTTTGTATATAAATATTTTATTATTAATAACAAAAGTATTAGAATTTGAAGTATTAGAATTACAGAATCCTTTTAATTTAGAAGGACTCAAATTCTCTTTTTAAGAAAAGATTTAAAAAGAAGCAATAAACGAAAAATAAATAAGCAAGTCCTCCATTATTTTTTACATTTTTAAATCTTTATTGTTTTCCTTAAATCTTAATTCTTGATAGTTTGATGAAAAAAATCATCACACATTTTGTATCTAAATTTGTACATTAAAATATATGGAACAATCATTATATCTTATATATTTTGGAAGTAAAATACTTTTCCTACTATACATGAAAGCAGTTCTATTAATTTAGTTTCTCTTTTAACCGCGATTAAAATCTTTGTATTTACCTTTTATTATTAGCATTTTATAATTCATCTGATAAAATTCTCTTATATAGTATATTTATTCGGCCCCAAGTAAAATCCTTTGCTGATTGGTTAACAGACAAAGATTGGTTAGTCTAAATTGCTACTACGATTAATTCAGCCTTGAGTCAGCGCCAGGAGCGTTCGAATTGAAAACAAATCAATCCGGTGGAATGAAACGTGGCACGAGAGCTTCGGGTATCAGAACGTTCAGGAAAATCCATTGGCGGGTCACGTACAAAGGAAACGGGAATTCCATTTCGCGGAGGAAGCCTCTGCCGTCTCCGATGTGCCATTCGGATAATTATTCAGTCACAGCGAGTGCTTTAGACGGCTGTGATCGCAGAAAGAGGATGATATTTGATTTCGAGGATGAGAAAGACGCGCACTCATATACTATTTAATACCAAAGTCCCATCGTCCAGCGATTCGTTTCAACTATTCCACATCCTGTGTTCATTTCGCCTTCCCTTATTTTAATAAATTTGTAGCTTTAATAACGTAAATTTTAATAACGTACTTTGATTCAGCGAGATTTTAATTTCCTATTTTATAGAGAATTATAAAAATCATGTACCAAAATAACAGGCCATTAATGGGCAATGCTGATCAATAATTTTCCAGTAATAAGTCTTTCATTAGAAACTTAAATAGAAATTTATATGATAATTGGAACCGACGAATACACACACTTATTACTGAATTAATGACAAAATTATAATTCTATCGCATTTATTCTACGATATATATTAAACTATTTTATTCCTTTGTTCGTATCTTTTTGATTCATGCGATCATATAGTTCAGTGCGCTGGTATGTACGAGAATTGATACATCAGAATACGTTTGTGGTCATAGCGCCGTAAAAAATCGATGTTCATTTAACTGTTTTAGTACAATCCAATTTTTCTTCAGTCGCTACGGTATTGTCGATAAATTTTTAATTACGTTTGGTTACGTGCATGGTTTCGTTAGTTAGTTTGTATCAAACTTGCGGTAATCAAAGTAGATGAACTTTCGCTTGGAAATTTTAGCTTCGCGAGAAACATTAATAAACCAATTTTTATCCGCATGTATACATGCGCAATAGGAATTTAAATATTCTGTCTTTTGTGATATCTTGAATGTTTTTGTATTGTATCTCCTGATATATGCATATTTTACTTTTCTTTCATTTAAAATTATATTTAATATACATATATGATTATAAATACTCGTATATGTCCCATGTATAGGCTCTATTAAATTTTCTGAAAGCTTAGCAAATTTTTTTCTCATATATTTTATATTTTTAAATAAATATTGTAAATATTTATGTCCTCATGAAAGAAAAGTGTTATTATATATTTTGTTTTTATGTGTATGTTTCTTTTACTCAAATAAAATTAATGCTGAAACAATAAAATATGTTTTTAAGAGATAAAATAAAATTATTATAATTTTAATGTACAATATGCATATTAATTACATATATACATTCTTGTTT